CTGTGGTCTTCATTCCTTGAATGGCTAAAATCCATGTGGCTCTCTTGGTGAGAGTTCAATGAAAAAGCAGACGACTCTAAATTTCCCGCCAGTAGGTTAGTTTTGTTTTTCTTAGGCTATCATGGGAATTAGTTTTTTTTTTTTTTTTTATTTCTCATGATCACAAGATCACTACAGAAACATTATAAAGAAATATACAACAGTCAACCAAAACAAGAAAATTGAATTATCTATTATAAAAAATTTAAAGCAGCTAAATTCATTGTTAACAACAAGAACTCACCTTCAAGATCCAAATTACTGAGAACCAATATTATTTATAAATTTAAATGTCTCTTAAGGAACTGTATTCCTAATCTAATCAAATCAAATTCATGAATAATTATATTGAACATACCACTACCTACTTATCAAGTAGACTCACATTACATCTCTTAGACCATAGCTCAATTAGGACCCCTTTAAACACATGGATGTCTACCAAACTCCATCTGCAACATACTAGCACAAAATATGACCATAACAGGCCTCATCCACATGTAAAAATAGTTAAAAATATTAGTATTAATAATAAAAAAAGAAAAAATCCAGAACTCAATAATATCAACTATGAATATGGCCACAATGTGCTGACTGTGTGTGGAATATAAAAAAAAACATTTGCATCACTGAATATATAAATTTATATATATATATATATATATATATATATAAATTTAGATATTCAGTTAAAAATAAAATAAAAAAGTCATCCTTGATAACGCCTAATAGAATAGCTAAAAATATTCAGATATACAGAACACTTGAACAGTTTTTACACGTTTAATGTCAAGAAAAGAAAATACTTGTATAAATGCAAATTGATTTTAAACCTTAATCACAATAACTTGTCAGTCATCTTTAATGAAATTTATTGGCTCACCATTGACTGGAGAGGAACCAAGACTATGGCATTCTATGGGTAAAGAAAGTGAAAAAAGAGAAGAGCATTTATATCATCTCCTTTTATCCAGCTTTATACAATGCCGCCTAATAGACATTAAAAGAAATCCTCCTGGCAGATATGGTGAGTTAATCTCACAAATTTTATAATTTTGTGATGAGTCATTATCTTTCCAAAAATGATTTGGAATAATGATCTCTCATTCTTTTTGTTGAATTTTCTTGTGACACTTAATGTTTTGGCTGATACATTCTACAGCCTTCTTCGAATGCATAAACTTGGACACAAGTTTATGGATGAAGCTTCATCTAATTTGCATAACTTTCAGCCGAATATCATTCTTTCTAATAATATAATAGAAGTAGATAGGTTTGCCTATCGTTCAGTTCACACACCTCCTCAGTCTTTTGAACAGGAGTAGAGGTTTATCTCTTGTTTCCTGTTTAGGATTGGGGTTTCTGGTTCCTTTCATTCTCTTTTGCACCCAATAGCCCCTGCATCTTATTGTCATTATCACCTTGCTTGGGGTGAATTGATTAAAAAAATAGAAGAATGTGAAATGCTTGAGAAATTTTATCTTTTTATTTTATTGAGAAGTTTGAGAGGAAAAAAGATAGTCTTGTTCACCCTAAAATTATCGTTCTCTCTCAGAAATGAAATCAGTATTGTAGAAGAGGAGGTGATCCTATATCCATTGAACAGTGTCTGTAAATGGCTTTGCATGTGTGTTGGTGACAATCAGTAAAAGACAGTTGCAATTTTACCCATGTAATGACAAAGGTAGTTTTGCCAAATTTAGCATTCACATGTTGCACTGAACAGAAGTGAAACACTGAAAAGCAGCAGGAAACCTAGTTGATAAAATGGAAGCAGGAACAAATACGACAGAGATGAAGAGCAGTTGTAAAAGTTCTTGTATTGCCTGAAAGCAACAAAAAGAGAGGAAGCTATATAAACCAATATTCAATAGCCTTAAAGAAATAGATTTCAAGAAATATATTAATAACACTGAAAAGTGAATCGAAGCTGATATCACTTGAAATTATGGAAATCTATACTATAAAATAGAGCTGATTTTCTGTCCGTCACAAACTTGCCCTGTGAGTATTCAAATTTCCTTAAGATTTCTTCATTATCTGTCTATATTTCTGAGATGAGGTATTGGAATTATTTACACTATTTATGTTGTGCATGAAATAAAGGTTTCATTTTGAAATTCCAATCACCTGAAGAAGGCCAGAGCATACAGCCAAAACATTGTTAATATGGCAATAAAGATGAAGATAACAGTTCAAACAATGTAAATAGTGTAAATATCTTCTTCATTGTCTACATGCTCCAGCATTTTTCTCCAATAATGGATGAAATAAAAGTTGTCTGAAACAACCTATGATATTATTTTTTTGTCAACACTGGTGATGATATACCATGCTTACCATTTCTTTGGAGTTGCAAAGTCAGAGAATGCTTGAAAGTTTTTCTCTAAAATCAGGTTCTTTTAGCTTTTCTTCATGTCAGACAATGTAGAAAAAATGCTTCTCCGACATAAAATAACCGCACTGAATGAAATGAAAGTCGATAACAAATTTGAGTACAAAGCTTTGAAAGAAAAGGATGGAAGTCTTGACAAAAACGTGAATAAAAAAATAATGTCATTATAACCTTTTTTTTAAAACCTGTGTGAATTGTTTAACTTGCTTTTCAAGGTTAGTGGGAAGAAATCAATCATGAATGTGTTAACATGCATTGCCAAAAAATAAAAGACCAAAAATCAATAGCATGTGAACAAAAATTTATTTTGCGCTTGTAATTCTCCTGTATTTGAGACTGGGAGAATATTGATCAGTCAGTTAAACAAATAAATGGTTTTCTTTCTTGTTTCTCTTCAAGAACAAAACAAGTAAGATTAATTCCAAGAATCTTCGGTAGAAGATCTGATTACGGCAGCACAATTATATTGAGAATATAGTTAATGAATTTCTCTTTTGACAATATGTTAATATCCATAGCTTCAATAAGTATCTTCAATTGACAACACAGGATACCTGTCATTTTTCAGCAGCAATGTTGAATTAAGGATTTTACCAGATTCACACTTCATTCACATTTCAAATCCATTATTTAAATTTATCCTAAAACAAAATTTATATACCTCTTATATATATTGAGATCCTTGATAAAATCCAAAGAAGAATCTGCAATGTTGGCTTCAATCACTTCCCCACCAGCATAATGTAGCTTCCCTGTGCCTTTGCTTTAAATACTTCCATGGTAATTGTCTTGATGGACTTTCCTGTAATATACCTTTACTTTTTTAATTTAAATGCAGTACTAGACTGGCAGCAGGGTCTCATCATTTTACAGCTTAAATTGCTAGATGAAACCATAAGTTCTAACACTTTCTTCTCTCACACTTCTCACTTGCAGAACTTTCTTACAGCTTCTTGTTTCCCTGTCGACTTTGATCTTCAAAAATGTAAATGCAATACAAATTGTTATCTTCACTCCTGTTCTTTTATTGTTCTCTCTCATTTATAGTGGGTTTTTTTCTTATATTCTCTAACACTCAGTAACCCCTTGCATCTTAGTGGCTTTATTGCCTTGCTTGATATGCAACAAATTACACAGCACTTATTTTAACTAACTGCATTAATTATTACCATGAAAGTATTTATAGAAAAGCCACAAGGAAACCACATTAAAATGGTGGGAAAATGACTGAAACCGAGATGCCAAGTCAGGACCAATATCATTGCAGATTCTTTTTGGATTTTATCAAGAATAATAAATATCTAAGATAAATTTGGGCAAGAATAATTGTCTAGCACTAGCCGCAGATGTAGCAGTGGACTCAATATAATCTTTCCACTTTATGTCAGTGGGGAAGGTTAGCCCAAAAAGGCACAATGAGTCACTATATTGGAGGTTTAGCATCTGCCATACTGATTAATAGAGAGCAGTTTTGTTTTGGAGGTGTTATTATTGTTAAAATAGGATCTTGCTCAATAAACAGAGTGACAGCACTTTACCAGATAAATAGAAAAATGTTAATATTTATTGCACATGAGTACAAATAGGGCACAAGGCCAGTAATGTAGAAAAGGGAAGGCTGGTCTTATACTAAACCTTAGATAGCCACAACCACTGACCCAGACATGCTACAATAACCCTTGCACCAAAACACCACATTCTTACTTACCATAATATCTCAGAGACTCTATGAAGTCATAACTAGTCTCCATATGTACAATTTTGTCTGTGGGTGGGGGGATACAAAAAAACTTTTAAAAATTTACAAACCTCAATGAATATTTACAATGGTAAACAAAATTTATTTACAAGAAATGAAACAAAAACAGTATTAGTAATAATCCCACACACACTCACACAATCACTAATTGTGACAGAGACATCAGTTAATCTGGAAAAAATTAATGCAGAATTTAAATCATGAAAAAAACACTCCGACAACCTAACACTCACAGTAACATGCCCTTACCCAAACACAACAGTAAATATGAAAAATCACACCTGAAAAGCGAAAGGCATCCAGCATCTACCAGACAACTGACATCTCTGGTCACCTCATGGGGCAGGGGATGTGGAATTAAACACAGAAAGTTGGGTGGGGAGATAAAAGAGGACAATGAGAATACATACTCTAGCGAAGTTAACTTGGATGAAGACAAAACTAAAGAAAACACAAACCTAAACTAAACTATTTCAGGCATGGTTGCCAATGTTCAATCCAGCAATCCCCAAATTCTTAATACCTAACTAGCATCAAAACTAGAAAAATATTCCCTGAGGAGAAATTTTGGTAAACTTAAATAATGCCTAAAGATTAAATTTACTTTGGAAGGAAGGGAGACAAGCCTGCTAATGCCACTACTGAGAACACATCCATTAAATGGGAATCTAATATCTACAGAAATAGAGTACGAGTTTAATATATTCATAAATTTGTTAGCCAAGAAAGTGAGATCAATCCTAGAGTCAGCTTACTTAACAATTATTATTATTATTTACAGAAGATGAAGAGTTTGTGGAAATCAAGATGTGTTTGCATTCATTTGTGTTTTTCAATGTGAAAATATCAGTAAGGTTTAAATAAATTAATACATGAATGAAAAATAATTGTGTTTATAAGAATGAAGTGTTGACAGCTGACACATGATGCCAATCATTATTATTTCAGCAGACACACCACCTCCAACCTCATTTGGCATTCTTTGTTTAAAAAAAAAAAAAAAATTCTGATCAAAATCTACCCAAAACTGAGATAAAAAAAAAGAAGATAAATGTTATCTGGAACTTTCTAGCAAAACTGTAAATATAAATATTAATTATGAAGTGACCCCAAATTGGATGGAATGATATCAATTTCTCCACTCTTGCTTTCTCTTCCTTGCATTTGCTATAAAGGAACATAAAAAAATATTTTTAATGAAGATATATATATATATATATATATATATATATATATATATATGTATGTATATTAATTAATGCACAGAGCAACACCATCACCAGATGTGCAGCTTCTGCTGTCATTTCCATCGCAAGGAAAATTTTCATGGATTGGAGTTGTTAACTCCGCACTAGAAACCTGCTGTAAATCAAGAGTGAATAGGGAATAGAATTTATGCATTTTCAAAAGCTATTTCCACATTCTTATAATGAGGAGACGGTTATAAGAAACCATTCTCAACATACATTGAATACCATTTGTTTCTGACCTCCATCTCCTCATTTGGCATTCTTGGTTTAAAAATTAAAAATAAAATTAAAAAAATGTTCAGATTAAAATCTACCCAATTCTGAGATAAAAAGAAGATACATGTTATCTGCAACTTTTTGGCAAACCTCTAAATATAAATATTAATCATGAAGTGAGCCCCAAATTGGATGGAATGAGATCATTTCCTTACCTCCCTTTTCTCTTCCTTGCATTTGCTATAAAGGAATGTAAAAAGACTTGATAATGGGGGTCTTTTGTGTGATACCCTTCCTGGTCCCCTTTGGACAAAGAAAACTATATAATGATGGAAAATGAAGCTGCAATAACCTAAATCCATGTTTCAAATGTAAATTAGCTTGATCTAATAATAGGAGTAGTGTCCAGTTCACACTTCTCCCTAGTCTTTTGAACAGGAGTAGAGGCTTACACTTTGTTTCTCATTTAGGATTGGATTTTCAGTTCCTTTTAAATTTTACTTCAACTCTATACTTCTAATATCTCTGCCTAAATTCTATCCTTATTCCCTGCTGAGAATTTTTAGGGTTTCCAGTATCTTCTAAAGTCTTTTCCTTCCCTTTCACTATTTTACTTCTACTTCTATTCTAACAGCTTCTTTTCTTACCTTTGGAACTCCCTTCTTATTTCTTGCTTCCCTGGTAACTACGATCTGAAAAATTTAAATGTGACATCAGTAATCATCTTCTATCTTCCTGAATACTTTTCCTTTATTGTCCTTTCCTCATATCTCCTCATTAAAGTCTTTTCATTTCCTTTCAATCCCTGTAATCTATTGTGTCTTAATGGCATTATTTTCTTGCTTGGGGTGAACTGATTTAAAAAAAAGAAAAGAGATCAATATATGCAAAAATTCTGAAATAAGGGGTGCATCAAGAGCACTGAGACCACATATATATGGAGTTCTGTGTTCTCTCATGTTTAGAGGATGTATAATTGTTTCCAAAACAAAAGTGAAGATTTTTAACAACAGAAATGGGTTTTTTATATATATATATATATATATATATATATATATATATATATATATATATATATATATATATATATATATATATATATATATATATATATATATATATTATGAAATGGACAAAGTCTGAAAATTATTTTAAGACATTTTTTATGTTTATACGTTCTTTTTATAGATACAAATATTTAAGTAAATGTTCTACTTCTATTCTAACAGCTTCTTTTCTTACCTTTGGAACTCCCTTTTTATTTCTTGCTTCCCTGGTAACTACGATCTCAAAAATTTATGAACAGAATTAATGACATTTATCGGCCTGAATGTCCAAGAAATTTTCATAGAAAATATGTGTCCTTCGACAGAAATCGAACCTGTAGCATATATGGACCATCATATAGCCTGACATGCTTTACCATTTGAGCCACTGAGGAGCGTTTCGGTTAGCAAGGTCGATTTTACTGTCTTTAAACTACAATTCTCCATGATTTTCTCTTGTACATTCTCATCTGGTCGGTGCATATCCAAATGTAAACAAATGATGTCACACATTATGAAATGGACAAAATTTGACAATTATTTTAAGACATTTTTTATGTATCTATAAAAAGAACATATAAACATAAAAAATGCCTTAAAATAATAGCACGTCAGAGGATGCATATTTTCTGCAAAAATTTCTTGGATATTCAGGCCGGTAAATGTTGTTAATACTGTTTATTATAAACAGAGCATTTACTTAAATATTTGTATCTATAAAAAGAATCTATAAACATAAAAATGTTTTAAAAATATATATATATATATATATATATATATATATATATATATATATATATATATATATAGGAGATAATGATATATATTTTTATATATCAAGAAAAGTATTGGAAAAACCATATGAAAAAGTGGAAAAGGTTTACTTGTGACATATTTCATCCTTCAGGACTTCATTGGACTAAATTTGTTATATTGGTAGAACTACACGTCCATACAACAAAGGGTTAAAAAATAAATTCTAAAATTCGCAGCAGCATTCTGTCATACTGTGATGTGTTTTGCTCTTTAAGACTTCATCGGATTAAATTTATGCTTATGTAACTACAAATGCAAAAAATGGAAAGCATGATGAGAATTTAAAATTTTAATTTTTTTTTAATTTACTATATGTTTTGTGTATATAATCTATAATATATATATATATATATATATATATATATATATATATATGTATGTATGTATGTATGTATGTATTTTTACCAGCATTTCACCCCAAGCAAGGCAGGAGGGCCACTAGCACACAAGGGGTTACAGAGAGTAAGAGCAAGAGTAAAGACGGGTGTTTGAGGAAAGGATATAGAGAAGAACAAGAATCATGATCAAGGCATCAGAAAATCTCAGTTGGCATTATATTTGAATATTTTAAGATATCAGGGAAGCAAGTAAGAGGAAGGGAGTTCCACTGTTAGGAAGTGCAAAAGAAGAAGCTGTTGGAGTAGAAGAGGTGGTTACATTTAACTGTTTCAACAGTGAAAGGGTGGGACTGAGATACCATATACATATATATATATATATATATATATATATATATATATATATATATATATATAATTATTTATTTAAAATATGATTCCAAATCGCTACATAAGAGGTCTCATGTTTTAAAAAACTAGAGCCGAAAACTTCAAACCAGTTCCTTCCTATTTTCTATATTTTTTCATATATATATATATATATATATATATATATATATATATATAAAAAACAGAAACAAACACTTCCCTGTCTCTGATCATTGGGTCTGATAAGTAAATACATTTATTACATCTCTTATCTCAAAAATCCCAATGCATTTTCCCTAAATACATTTTTGAATCCACAACTCTTATGGCACATCAGTAAAACATGTCATTAATAAACAGGTTATTTAGAACCAGAAAATATTTTTAGATGGTAAGAATTTTTTGCATATAATAGTGATTTACTGATACAAGTCATACTAATTAACCCATAGCTGGGGGAAAGAGTTGAATTCATTGGCATTAATAATGCCTTCAAATTAATGAATCCTTTAGGTCTTCATGAAGAAAAATCCTTCATCGGACCCTATAAATTGGTGCTCCAATATCACAAAACCTTTACCAAATAACAAAAAACACATCACTTGTAAACTTCTAACAGCAGCAACAAAAATGGGTAGCATGTGTAACTAGAAGAGACCATAATGATATAATCAAGAGGTTGATATTTCACATTACCTAAGTCTTGGAAGGAAACTTGCATCAGTACTAGAACAAGTGATAATGCTTAGTGCATTTAGGAGCCTAATTTCATGATAAACTCTTTTAAGAGACAGGTTTTCTTAATTTTAACCATTAAGAATGCAAACTGTTCAGTCAATGAATGCTGATGTTACTTGTATAGTAATAGGTAATTTCAAACTTACCATTGTTGTTAATGGGCTTAATCAGTGTTTAATAAAAATGATTCAAGTCTTCTTGGAGACCTTCAATTCCTTGTTTCAGCTTTTAAGAAATATTACAGAGTGAAGATAAGCTTCATGATAAAAAAATAGTTGATCAAATAAGTTAAAAAAAAAAGTGAATGTCAATTTAAATTCGCCTTTTTTTCTTCTGCTTTTTTTACTTGTTTATTTACTTAGCGACTTGCATTTTTTTTATCATTTTTATTTTTTCGTCTTGATCTTGAAAGTTTCCAACTATTATTTTCCCTTTTCCTTCTTCTCTATTTATTTCCCTCTCTTATCCCGTTCTTCACCTTTTCTTTCTAAACCCTCTCTTTTTTATTCCTGCTTTGATCCCTCTCTCTGTTTTCTCTATTTCTGCCCCCTCTACTCTTTATGACATAACATTTCACACATTTCTTCCTTTTCTTTCGACTCCTCTTTCTCTGGCTTTTCGTTTTTATGACCTCTTTTCCTATCCTCTTCTTCCTTCACTTCTCCATTGTCCATTCTCTTCCATGTCGGCTTCGTTCTGGGAATTGTCACCAGGAGTGTAAAAACACTGTCTTCCAGAAAAGTAATACTGTAAGCCAGAAAACAACAAAAATAATTTGCAGATCCCCAAAGAGGAACCTATTCTTGCCAGCCTCCATAAGTCTTATTTTTTCTTTAGCAACACACTTTACTACTCCCAGAATGACTCACATAGATTATCGAATGCCATGTATTTTCTCAAATAAATTTTCCCCAGCATTTGCCTTCACTGACAAATAACGAGGGTCTCCATTTTAGCAAAATAGCATATCTGCCGTTTGATATGATGAATACTTAAAGTTTTAAGTCACTTCCTACTAAGAAAATTTATATTGTAACTAGTTTTAACCTGTGAAAATTTCACAGTTTTCTTTTAATATTTAGATGAATCTTAATTCTCATATTAATGAGTGTGAAAGCTCATGGCAAATTCTACACCAATAGAATATCTGTAGAAATTCCCCTATCACATCACTAATTGAGCTTAACAACTTTAACAAAATATTGCAATGAGAATCATAAATAAGAATGCTGGTTATTATTTTAAGAAATAAGGAGGTACAAATGAAAAGATTTGAAGTTGACAACTTTTCTATTTCACTGAAACAGACCTAAAACACTTCTACCTTTCCTTTTTTCATTCATTTTCTCACTGAAACCAAGTAGTGTCTTTTCCCCTCTTTCCACTGATCAAAATGGAATGATTCATAATTCATGACATATTGGCAGCTCATAACATTCGTGCAAACTTACAAAAGGAGAGACAAGCACAATTATAATAGTATTATTTGTAAATAAGGGGAGACTACTCTGTAATTAGACAAACCCCAACTTCTTTAAGTGACATCTGAAAGAAACAAAAAGGTCTTCATGCCACATTACTTCTTAAAGAAGAAGAAAAAAAGGCAAATTTAAATTGACATTCACTTTTTTTAAACTTATTTGATCAACTATTTTTTTACTTCTTAAAATGTTAAAAAATAAAATGTTTTAGAATTTTAGGTTTTTTTAGGAAACTGTAATGTTGAATTTTTATTTGAAAACTTTTTAACAATGTGTAGAAGTATTTATGACAAAAGATTAAAGAAAAAAAATGAGAAGCATGAAAATATGTTTATTTTGTAACAATATAAAAATGTTTTCTTTTTACAAAACAAAAATACCATTATTTTATGCATATATTTTATGCAGAAATAAGAAATCTTTTCATTTATTTTCCTCATTTCAATGTTGATATGATTTTCTTTACATTTTTTGTAACAACCACAAACATTATTTACACTATTTATATTCAGACTATTATCGTCACCTACAAGTCAATGGTCCAGTGGATAAAAGCATTGGTTTGTTAATTTGGCGACATACTAATTGTGAGTTCAATCCTTGGGTTGAACAATATGTAATGGAAGAAAGAGTGTGCAATAACTGAGCCATAGTAGACATGGCCAATGTAATGAGAACAGTCTACTCCTATAGATTAAATAAAGTGTTCAGTTTGGAATTCTCTGTATGTTACCAGGAATTGTATACACCAGATATAGGCTGGAGGGCACAACAGCCAAAATATTATGATAACAACAAAGATGAGGACAACAGTCTGAATATAAATAGTGTAAATAATGATAACTCTTTGTCCCAGAAATTCAGTCAGAAGCCACAAACATTGCAAGCCTCTTGCTGCTCTATTGCTTATCCCATAGGGAGTGCTCAGATGAACTACATTCCATAACTCCTCCAGTTCTAAGTTTTATGGCTAAGACCTGCTATGCCATGCACATTGTAGCAAACCAGCCACATTCAATTGGCATTGGTGAGATTTAAGTTCCATGAGGTCAACTTCTTCCCACGAATTGCTGCTTTGTGTAACGGACACCCAAGAGGATGCTTCCCCAATCACTACAATCTTAACCTGTTCAAGTCTTGGGCTAACCATTATCTTCCTTAATTCCTGTAGAAGTCAAGTGACTTACCTGCCAACATGGCTGCCTTCTTGTGTTTCCTTGTAAAGCAAGCCAGCTGATTTTACCTCATTTTATAGGAGAGTGCCTAATACACCAGTTAGATTGGTCCATTTTGCTAGAATGGACCTGCCCAATACATTTGCATGGGTGGTCTGTATTCACCCATATATTTCTCCATGAAATGACTCAAGTCTACTTGGGTGTCAGACCAATACTTACCTGGTGTAGGGATCCGTCCCTATGCTGGTGGTATCACAGCTAGGACTAGCTTGGACTGGCTCCGGCCTGGACCAGCTAGGACAAGCCAAAACCCGCTATGACTAGCTTAGACAAGCTATGACCAGCTAAGACCAGTTTGGACCAGCGGCCCGAGAGAAAATATTTGGGTCCCCACGTTAAAAACTGACCTTGTATCACAACCTGACTCAGTGGGGGGTCAAGTAAATACACTTGCCTGGTGTAGGGATCCATCCCTGCACTGGTGGTATCACGGCTAGGACTATCTTGGACTGGCTCTGGCCTGGACCAGCTAGGACAAGCCAAGACCGGCTATGACTAGCTTAGACCAGCTCTGACAAGCTATGACCAGCTTGGACCAGCAGCCCAAATGAAAACATTCAGGTCCCCATGTTAAAAACTGACCTTGTGTCACAACCTGACTCAGTGGGGGGTCAAGTAAATACACTTGGGTGTCAGACCACTGGCAAGCTAACCAATATTCTAAGAGATTAAAATGCAAGTTCATGCCTGAATTTCAACCAAGAATTAAATCCATTTAGATTGTCTTTTGACATTACTTCTACTATAGACACACTCATTCCTTCTTTTAATGCCATGTACAAAACTAATCTCAATAAACTGAATTAGAAACATCAATGTGGAGTAATGGTTAATGAGGCTAGTTTGGTTAACCATTACTACTAAGTAGTGAGTTTGGTTCTCACTAGACATTCTATACTTGTGGCCTTATAGGAACCAAAACTAAGCTCAATGAATTAATTTTGTCTGAATTTCTGGGATGAGTAGATAACATTATTTATACTTTTTACATCAAACTATTGTCCCCATCATTGTTGTTGTTGTTATCATAATGTTTTGGCCCTTGTGCCCTCAGGATATCATGTAGTTCTTATTAGTACTGCTCAGTTATTGCTCACCTGTTTCCACTGAGTCCAGGTAAACACTGCCCAGCCCAGGGATTGAACTCACAAATACTATATAATCAAATTTACAAACCAATGCTTTAATACACTAGGCTGATTTTCTGACTGGCATTAAGTTGTTGCATAGCAACAGTATTTATCCCAGTTGACTTTTTCTACCTGAATTGGGGATACAAGGTGTTATCAAGGGTTAATTATTATTTATCATTCTTATCTTCATAATCTTGCTACCCACTTCTTTCATTCGTATCACACACCTCATTCATCATTAGCATTTTAACGTTAAGCCTTTTCCTTGAGTGGCAATCGAGATTTGTATTGGGTGAATATTAGTAAAAAATATCTAAGGGTTTATTTATTACATTGGTTTTCACATTGAAAAATTCTTATCTAGTTGCTTGGTCAACAGTCATGAATATTATTTGATGATAATAACATTTATATTAAGTTATTTGGTGATGTGAAACCTTATCATGCAAGAGTTGTTCATTAGATTGCAGATAAATATAATAGTATTGTTACTGATGTTTATTTAATATTTTCAGATATATAAAGATTGCTGTGGGTCATGAGAACAATATAACTTCAAAAACATTGTCATGTGGATGGTTTACATTGCCTTATCATTTCATGTTATATTTTGTGGGTTTCATTTTTATTGTAGCAACATTTATATCCTTCTTTATGTTTCTGTCATTAAATAAAAACATCAACCACTGAGATATCTGGAATGACCAATAAATTCCTCACTCCATCAAAATTGTAGGCAATTGGGATTTAAATGTTTCTGAATAGCAGTGCTATCAACTTTGGAATTCTCTAAGGTTGATGAATAAATCCTGAATATATTCACAATCAATTTCTTCATCTTTTTGTTTTTTGTTTTTTTTAATTTACGTATTTTTATCCAAGCTCTCTTCTGTCTTCTTTTTCCCTGATGAATTTGCGGATATTATTTCCTTGAAAGGGAAAAAAAAAGAGAGATGAAAACCTAAAAAATGGTTCCAGGCTCCCATCATGCAATGGAATTAATATGGTCCAATAGACTGGAGAATTCGTGTTTTAAAGGGTGTAATGTGGCTAGCACTGCTAATAAATACATTGGCTATTTGTTATTTTACAGAATTTTCTAAGGAGTAAAAAAAAAAAAACGAAGAAAGAAAAGATACTTATGTCAAACAGTGATTTCTTTGGTTAAGATAAAAGATAAGTTTTTCACTTTACTGCTCATTCTGCTGTTTATAAATCTCTCTCTCTCTTTATCTCTCTCTCTCTCTCTATATATATATATATAGAGAGAGAGAGAGAGAGAGAGATGTCCGGTTTATTTGAAGATTCCCTGGATTGGGGATAGTGGTCAGGGCTTAATTAAGCAGGTTAGCAAGTTGGTTTCCGGTTGTTTCCCATCAGTTGCTTTACGTAGCATTTTTCAAACTAGGTCTGCGTTTCCGTCTTTTCGCAAGGATGTATTGCCCTACATCAAATTGAGTAATTTAGTATATGAATTTAATTGCCAGTGTGCTGCTGGTTATGTGGGGCGTACAACCTTGCATTTGGAAACTAGAATTAATCAGCACGTTCCTTCAAAATACGACTTGGTAAGATAGATAGAATATGCTATCTTCCCCCATGAATATGGAATCGGCTATTGCTCAACATTTAGTTGAGAATATAGCTTGTGCCAAGTTGTATAAAAAAGAGTGGTTTAGAATTATTCATACAGCCGATTCAATAATCATTTGAAGATTTTGGAGTCGGTCTGTATAGGATTTAGAAAACCTTCTCTCTGCTGGCAGAAAGAATTTATAAGGTCTCTAAATCTGTTGGGGGATATTTTATTTTAACTGTCCTCGCTATTTATTTACACGATAACCCTTCCTTGTTACAAGTATATATACTTGTTTGTTATTTTAGTGTGTTTCCCCCTCTTTTTTGCTCTTCAATATCGCTATTATTCATTTCGCTAATCCAACAATTGTCTCCTGATGAGATGTTGGCTGAAAGGGCTCTAGAGACTTTTTTTAATATTAAAATCAATGGTTTCCTAGTTTTTAAAACTATTTATAAATTTTGTACCTCAAACATTTGTATATATATATATATATATATATATATATATATATATATATATATATATATATATATTATATTATAGTTTGTCCAGTACAAGGCCTCAGAGTCAATCAAGATAAAGAATTACTGAATAAGGAGTGTGATGTGAATGCAAGAGTTAGAAACAGGAAATGAAGGCTATCAGAATATGGTGAATATATAATAATTAACCCTAGAATTGAATGGGTTAAGATTGTATTATTTGGGGAAGCATCCACATGGGAGACTGTTCCACAAAATAATGGTTCTTAGGAAGAAGCTTTCAGAGTGGAACTTCCTTCTTACCAAAGGAATATATAGAGAATGGGGATGATTTGATTGTGTGGATGTAGCAAGGCAGGATTTGGCTGTAAAGGTCTGAGTGGGTGGTACAAATGAATGAAGCTTATTAGAACATTAAGCATAGAAGTAAGGCTTGTGATGATGTGTTTGTGGGGAAGTGGCTGTAGGCAAGGAGATAAGTCATCACCAACAAAGCCATGTAAACTATATTGAACTCTGTCAAGGTCAAAGCTGGCAAGTTAGGATTGAGCAGCTCCAGCCCAGATATAAATTTATATAATTTTTCATTTTAAGGACAGAATATATATATATATATATATATATATATATATATATATATATATTACATTCTCTGATTACAGTATTAACTACATTTACTCACTTGAATGTCTGAGAAATTTCTGATGATAAATGGAATAACATGTCAGGCTATATGGTGGTTCTGTGTAGAATACAGGTTCAGAGGACACATATTTTCTACAAAATTTCTCAGATATTCAGGCCAATAAATGTAGTTAATACTGTTTATTATAAACTGAGAATTTGCTTAAATATATATATCTACAAAAATAATGTCTAACAGAAGATATATTAAAATAATTGTTGGACTTAGTCCATGTCATAATATATTAAGTCATTTGTTTACATTAAGATACACTTTGAACAGATATGAGCATTCAAGAAAAAATCATGAGAATTTTATTGTTTAAAAACAGTAATTTGATTTTGCTAACCAGATGCTTCCTCTGTGGCTAAATGGCATAGCCCATCAGGCTATATGACAGTTCTGTGTAGGATACAGATTCCTGTCGGAGGATATATATTTTCTATGAAATTTCTCGAACCTTCAGGCCAGTAAATGTAGTTAATACTGTTTATTATAAACTTAAGCATTTACTTAAATAATTGTATCTATAAAAACAACGTATAAATGGAAAATATTCAAAAAATCATTGTCTATTTCATTATATATATATATATATATATATATATATATATATATATATATATATATATATAACTTATAGTGAGATTTAAACACTTTCTGATTAAAGATATTCTACACCTTACTTCTTCAGCCTCACTATGAAGAGAGATCTACTGAGGTCTTCCAGTATTTCACCACTGTCTTATATATCATTTATTTCAGTAACCTTATTTATCCAGAAGGCACATAAGACAGATATCATCTCTATTACAATCTGATTTTAACCTGCAGCTTTGTCTCTGTTCATTTTGGCCAATGTTGATTATAATACTATAGATCTCTCCATGTTTTTTATGTACTGTAAGCATTACTTTTCTGCTGTCATGGAAGAACTTTGTTTTTCCATTATAGAAGTATCTTTTCTTTATCTGTTATGAGCATTCACCTTTTAGATTTTATGCATCCTGTCAAAATAAATGACTAGAAAAGATTTTATTCTGAACAGAAACATATCTTTATTAACTTGGCTTGTGTACAGAAGTGATCCATAGATCAAAACAGGTAGGAAGAATTTTGAAGACAGGACATTAGCGGAAACAGTTATTCATATATGTAACACTATTTCTATCTTTCTATGTATGCCTGATATGTTTATATTCCATTGAGTTTCTATCACTGCACAGTTTTTATTGCGCCATTCATCTTTTGCTTGTTTGCATCTATTCCTTAGCTTTGTCTGCCTTCTTTCAATTTTTCATTCTTCTTCTTCTATGTGCTGTGTTCCCTTCAGGACATTGGCAACCATGGCTCTTCACAATTTCTTGTCCTTTGTAGCTATTATTAAATTTTGTTTTTTGCTTCTTTTTTCCTTAGTTTGAGAATTTCATCTGACATCCACTTCTATAAACACTCACTAAATTCATGTGAATGTTTACAGCTGAAATTCTGTAATAATTCTTTGCTTTCTTTATGTATCCAGAGGAACATCAATTTTGAAAGAGCATTATGTATAAAAAAAGAAGAGAAGATAACTCTTGACACTTTTTCTTTAGAATTTTTGGTTCCAGGCTAAACAAAGTCTGAAACATACTATTTTTTTTCTTTTATCACCCCATGCAAGGCAGTAAAGCCACTAAGATACAAGGGGTTACAAAAGGGTGTGGTAGAATTAGGAACAGAAACATTAATAATGAGAAAAGAGTAATCAGGAGGACAGTAGGAAGCAATTGAAATTACATTTAAATTTTTGAAGATTAAAAATATCTATCTATCTATCTTAGTCTGGTCAATATATATATATATATATATATATATATATATATATATCTTAGTCTGGTAAATATATATCTCTCTATCTTAGTCTGGTTTCTCTCCATCTAACTCATTCTCTTTATTATCTATCTATCTATGCATGTTAGTAGGGTATAGGATGCAAACAAAAGTGGAGAAATAACCTGAAGATGCCAAACTAACCACATGACAGCTAAGCGTGTTGTCATTAAAAGGTTTTCCTATTTTTTCCACTATTTATCTAGCTATCTCAGTCTGTTCAGATCTATCTAAAATCATATCTATCTAGCTCATTCTTTTCATATCTATTTAACTATCCCATTCCTTGCATTATCTATGTTATCGCAATTCCTATCTCTTTATCTGTCTCATTCCCTTTATTATCTATATTAATTCATACATATCTCAGCTCATTCTCTTCATATCTATCTATCTATCTATCTATCTATCTATCTATCTATCTATCTATCTATCTATCCCTTTGGATCTATTGTTTTATATTCCACTGGCATGCAGTGAATTTTCATGCTGATTACTCTGTAATGTAATTGAGTTTTCAGTTACAATTCAAGAAATGTCATCTTGATTTCAAGACCAAGGCAGGAAATGACAAGGATGTTAATAATTAAACAACAAACATTTGTGGATATTTCTTCTTGTTTTGTAACAAAACAAATGAATATTTCTTTCTTAAGAAATCATGGAATCCTTGACTTGCATGCACGCAATGTGTTTCCTTGATGGAAATAGGGAAAGTCAATAAGAGAAAGATGCACAGAAGACGGCCAATTAAAATTCATGTTAACATTATCTGACTTGATTTTGTTTCATTTCTCTCATATATGTGTGTAGATCAATAATTTAGTAGCCTAACACAGTTACTAGTTAAGCAATGCTAAGCCTAGTTAGTACTTAGTTGGGTTACTACATGGGAATATAAGGTGCTGTAAGCTTTGGATGTGCAGTTGATGTATTAGATAGCAGCTCAGAATTGGATATCAGGCAGCAGAGTTTCAATTCCAGTTGGGTTCATTGTATATGAAAAATTCTTGATCTGAAGTATTGAGTGATTCATTCATTTTCTATGCCTTATCAACACTTTACAGGTTATTTAAAGCCACAAAATATTTTTAGATTGTAAGAATTTTTTTTTTTGATATAATAATGGCTTAGTCATACAAATTTTATTAATTACCACATAGCTGTGAGAGATGTGGATTCATGCCTTTCCCAAGAGTATTTGTGAAAAATTGAATATAATGAAACCAGTGTGAATTGGAACTTGGCTCTCCGTTTAACAATTCTATGTCATTATCTATTACACCAGCCACACATCCAAGCTAGTATTCCCAAACAGTCACCTATCTAGGTACTGACCAGGCTCAACATTGCTTAACTTTTGTGGCCGTATGAGAACTGGTGTGCCAGTGTGGTGTGGCCGTAAGCGATCTGAAGAAGAACACCATAAAAAAAAATATCCTTGGGTTAGATTTTAAGAAGTGAGCCAAGCTGATAACTTTTCAACACTCTTGGACATTCATTTTTATACATTCACTTCAGACGACGAAATGAATACCATTTTTTTTTTTTTTCAAATTACTTATCAAACCCAATTTCATTATTTGATTCTTCTGGTTCCTAAGTCTTCTTTGTCCCATTCCAAACAGATTTGGTTTGTGAAACCCCAAATTTGCTTCCTTTATTTGTTTGCTTGTATAGTTTATCTATGAAGGAATTTTAGACCATGTTCTCTGCATCGCCCATATTTACAGGCATAACCAATGAAACTGACACCACGGGACTTTACAGAGAAAATTACGAATGCAAAACTGACAGGTTAACATGGTCAACTAATCGGTACCTTCTTGTGACTCACCAGCAGGACGTCTCATGTCCAACATGGCCAACAGCAGGCAGAGGACTTAAGTGCCATTGATTAAGTAAAGTAGTGGCAGGAGAGAAAGAAAAGTAGTGGGGAGAGTAGAAAGGGAAAGAAATAATGAATTCTGGAGTGGTAGTTTGAGGCTAGGTGCAATTCAAGAGGAAGTAAGAGGGGGGTTAGCTTCTTGGAGCTTTGAGCAGTAATAAAAGAGACGTAGATACACACATGCACACAAACAGCCATATGCCTAGGGACACAATTTGGTCTGACACATTTCATTTTATTCCACTGATGAAGACATTGATACACATGTCAAAAGCAGGAATGGTTAGTGTCGATGCAGGTCGTAACAGAAATGATAAGGAATCTCCTTGAGTCTGAAATCAGCTCTCAGCAATTCTTGGACTGCCAGCCAGCAAAGAAAGGAAAACAAATGGTTTTAGTTGTGGGGAGGAAGAGAATCATGGGAATCATAGTTTAGTTTTGGAACTGGATGAAGGATTTTCCAATGATTCTTTTTGCAGAAGAGGTCCAAGTTCCTACAGATCTGGAAGCCAGGAAAACAATTTGACAGTTGACTGTTCTCAAAAGAATTTAAAAGTAACAATGCAGTATTTTCATGGAGATTACTGACAGGGGTGTAGGAGGTGCTTCCCATTCAGACTTCCAAAAAGATATTTTCCAATATGCTAATTCTAACAAGCATGTGAAAATGGATGACAGAAGAGGGAAGAGGAAGCATAGTAAAAAGACAAATACTGCTAAGTGCTATGAAGGATAGGAAGTTGTGGACCCCCATAATTGTACATATCCCTAACGGACACAGCACATAGAAAAAACAGTGTAGACAAGAGTGTTTTTTTTTTAATATTTTAATTAACTTTTCTTGTTAGAAATAATAGGTTCTTAGAGAATCAAAAAGTAAATATACACTTCAAATCAGAAAGAAACATTTGAAATTTCTCAGACACACAAGGAAAGAGGGCTTGGATAATTCGACAGGACAAAAGAAAGCACCAAATAACCTACCTAATGGCAGTGAATGCTGGACAACCTTCTCACAGATAAAGAAAAGGCAACAAAATTCTGGTTCTACAGAAGGGTGCTGAGAATATCATGGACTGAATGTGTGAGCAATGACAAAGTTTTAGAGAAAATAGAAACAAAAAAGACACTCAAACTTAACTTCAGAAAGAGCTAGTTGAAATTTCTTAGGCATGTGTTGCAGAGTATAACTTTTTGTTCTTCCCTACTATAAATATTAGAAGTAGCTACATTAGAGTAGGATTTGAGTACTTTAAATAGAATTTGATTTACTCAAGTTTTCTGTTCTATGTATGATTATTTTATAAATCTAGTCTCCTGTTCCTTCGATACGCTTTCTAACTATGGACTTATTCGGCTCTTTTGAACAAAGTCAACATTACAACAATATGTATTGAGAAAAGATGGCTTGGGAAATTGACACTGACAGGGCATATTGAAGGCAAGAGGAAAACAGTGCATAACCTACCTTATGAGCTTGTGTAAATGGCAGGTTGAATAAAGTTTAGGAGAGATAATAAAAAGACAATATTTATTAAGAGCTACAAAGGACAGGAAATTGTGGAGAGCCATGACTGTTAATGTCCTGAAGGGACATCTCACATACAAGAAGAATAAGCTTGTGTAAAGGTTGGCAGAAGAGAGCTTAGGATAGATACCAAAAAGACAATATTTATTAAGAGCTACAAAGGACAGGAAATTGTGGAGAACCATGATCACCAACATCCTGAAGAGGCATGGCACATAAAAGAAAGGAATTATGGGATGTTCAATCGGGGGTGCTATAGTAACTTACTAGAGAAAATTGAGCTCCATGACACAATTCATTCTGCCAGAAATTTGTAAAGGGTATTCTTGGCATTCACAGCGCAAGATCTGATATGAACATTTCAGAGTGTTTGGGTGTCAATCTGAGGACAGTGCAGAGGATTTGGAAAGAGTTGGATGAGTCTAATGGTGATTATGAAGGTGTTTAGAGTGATCACTAGTGATGATGATGTTATGGCACCATTCATCTTCTCACAGGGCCTCAGATTCAACACAGAGGCCTACATCAAGTTGCAGGAGATTCCAAAGTCCTCTGGAGGCTGTGGTTAAAGCCAATGGTAATTTTATGGAATAAATTTACTCTTTAGTATTTCAAGATATTTTTGTGTAATTTTGGTAAATATATCTGTTAAAACATGTCAGTGTTATTTTCATTTTTGTGTAATTTAGATGACAATCCATTGCACCCCGTAGAAATAGAGATATGAACAGACTGATAAGTAGATATATGCATGTTGCCTTATGATGAAAGAGAATAATTTTTTCAATATCTTTTTCAATCAAATTAATTTAACCAAACTACCAAAGTTATTTTCATGTCTTCAGCCCAAGTGGCTTTGTGGATAAAAGTTAGCATTGCAATATATGAAGGGTTCAATTTCTTGCAAAAATATATTCTTTAATTTCTTGGTTTCAGCTGGTGTCACTCAAAAAAATCAAATCTTGACCTAGAATTTACGATAATACCCTGCATTTATCTGAGAAGAGCCATCAGCTTTAAAGGGACATAATTCACCTCCCTATTGTTTTATAAATCATGACAGTTGACTGTTTCCATGAAGTTTGATCCTCACTAGGTGGTTCATACTTATGGCTTTGTGTTGTATCAAAACTATTCTGAGTAAATCACTAGATAGAGAGATAAAAGTTAATTAAAAAGTAATTCCTGTTTTAATTTCATTTTATAAGTATTCCAAAGAAGAATCAGCAATATTATTGATCCTGATCTGGTGGCTTGGGTTCAGTCACTTTCCCACCACTGTAGTGTTGTTACCTCTCTGTGTCTTTTCTATAAATACTTTCAATGGTAATTGTTTGGATGAGCTCTTCACTATGGTATCTAGACTTCTTGAATTTAAGTGCAGTACCAGACTGGTTTTGAGATAGCATCAGTTTACAGTTGAGCTTGGTAGATATAACCATAAGTTCTATGCTAACAGTTTCTTTTCTCATGCTTCTTGTTTGTGGAACTCCCTTCTGGCTCCATGATTCCAGTTAACTTTAATCTGCAAAAATTTAAATGAAATTTCAATCGCTTCCTACTGTCCTCCTGATTACTCTTTTCTCTTCCTGCTCATTATTAATGTTTCTGTTTCTAATTCTACCACACCCTGTAACCGCTTGTGTTTTAGTGGCTTTACTGCTTTGCATGGTGATAAAAGAAAAAATGCTTCTAAGTTGTCTGCAGGCCATGGTTGAAGCTAATGGCAATTTTATTGAATAAATTTACTTTAGTGTTTCAAGATATTTTTGTGTAATTCTGGTAAATATTTCTGTTAAAATGAGATGTTAGCATTAGTTCATTTTTGCGTAATTTAGATGACAATTTATCCATCGCACCCTGTAGAGATAGAGATATAAACAGACTGTTAGGTATGTTTGTTGCCTTATGATGAAAAAGCATAATTTTTTAACATAATATCTTCTTTGTAATTCAATTAAATTAATCTAACCACAACTTATCAGACAATTTTCAGACAATTTTTTTTATTTGTTTTTAATCGAGTAATTAAGAAAATGAGGCACCTTGAAGTAACCAAATGGTGACTAATGCATGTACCAGATGTATGAGTTGAAAATTGGACTTGTTTCAAGCTCAGAAGGGCATAAAAAGAATCAAGATCATCATATAATCATGTAGCTGGTTTTTGAACATTATGTTTTGGACAAGTTTATCTCCTGTTAATTCACCTCTCAAAGTTCTCCACCGCCTTAACTCGGTATTGAACTCACACTCTTTTGGTCCTGTCACTGGATATAACTAATGCTGTGTCATGTGTCCTTGAGAACATCTGTGTATAAATTTCTAGGTATTATAAACCTAATGTCTTCAGCAACCATTTTTTTTATTTCAACTGTAAAATAATGAGACCTAGCAGCCAACCTAGTACTGCACTTAAATTCATAAAGTCTTGGTACCTTAGCAGAAAGATCATAAGCACAATTACCATGAAAGTATTTATAGAAAAGGCGCAGGGAAGCTACATTATGGGAGTGAGAAAGGGACTGAAGCCAAAATGCCAGGTCAGGATCAATAACATTGTAGATTCTTCTTTGGATTTTATCAAGAATCTCTAAATATATAGCAGGAGCACTAGACCAGATGTGGTAGCAATATTCAAAGCAAGGGAAAATGGTAGACTTATAAATATGTAAGTTAGATTCTGGTGAGAAAAACTGTCTGCCATTACATAGTGAAACAACTATATTTCACATCCATATAGGAGAATGGAGACTACCAGAGATTTGTATAGATTTTGCTCATATTGCAATTTTTGTTCTTATCATTGCATGTTTTTTTTTTTTTTTACCAGAGCTCATATTGCAATTTTTGTTGTTATTATCACTTTTCTCTGGCACTCCTTATTACTGGTTCCCATATTGTATCATTCTTATGCTTGGTTGGCTCAGGAGATTTTTGTGGGTTAGCATATGTGCTGATTCCTGATTTGAGAGGGGAATTAATAGGA